ATAGCAATCACAATGTCATTGAATACGTCTATGGTCATCTTTACATCAAACTGAAAATAAATTGGCTGCTTCCAGCTCTGAAAGATCCCTCTTGCCATGACCATCATCAACTGATTGTGAGGTCCATTGTGAGGTGCATTATTCATGAGCTTCGGTCGAGCAGGGCCTGACTCTGGGTCGTCCCTCATTTTCCAGCAGTGGACGTCCAGATGAATCTTTCCAGTCCACCTTCCCAGCTTTGAAATTCCTAATCCATCTCGCAACTGCATCAAAGGAGTTAGTACCCTCGCCATAAACGTTGAGCTAATCCCGATGGATCTCGTTTGGTTGGTGTCCAAGCTTCTAGTGAGTGAAGATATGCAAGTAGAAGCGAGATTCTTCTTTTGTGAAATCCATTGAGAAACCGACCGGTGGAAAATACATCTTTGCCTACTCCTCTGTAGGAGCTCGGGTGGATGAGATAGAAATACGTGTCAGAAGTTGAAATGCAGTGGACTAATGTACCTAGGTATATCAGAGAAAAAGCGCAGGTATCAGATACCACTCCTTAATTCCCGTCTGGATATCTTATTTGTACACTTTTTGTGTTATCACTACTTGTGGTGACCGGGTGGGACGAGATATGGCCCTTATGATCCCAGATATACTTGTAACCTTCTTGGAATCCCCAACTTTTAATTTCCTTGGCGGAGTGGGATCCGAGCTCTTTCGCTACTTCGACAGTCATTCGAGCTCGTCCCGTGGAATCAGTTTTCACGCCGGTCATTTGGTGGTGAAGTTTCTTCGTGCCTCCAGACGATACGGATTTCCATATTTTTCTCTCTCACTGCTGCCGTGAGCACGCGCGGCGCCCGTCTCGATCACACCTTAGTCGTGGTGAGACATTCTCGTAAAATCTTTCGATGCCCCTACCCGTCTCATGGTAGGTGAGGCGTCAGTCTCCCGAGGAGCTTCACTCCATCAAAAATTCATTAATGATTAAATATGTCGGTGTCCCGGCTTGGACACTCCTCAACCCCTCACGAAAAGCCGCTGTTGATACTTTTGGAAAAACCAGGCATAGATTCTAGGCTGGTATCAATTTGCTCTAATAAGCTCAAAGAAGGTGACGATCCTGAAAACTTTTCTGTGTGAAATAAACAAAAAAGGTTCTATCCTCATCGGAAATAATCGCCGATGAGGATCGAACCGTGTGAGCGGATTTCCCTTTTAGTGTAAAGAAATGTTTGCTTCACTGTTTGACGGCACCTCTTTCGTGAAGGAAATACCTCTCACCAATGCTGGACATGGAGACAAAATCAAACATATTTTGCATTAAGACTTAATCATTTCCTGGGATTTTTTAAAAATGAATATGATCTGATTAGCTTTTCTGCTCTTAGTTGTTCAATCAATGGGTATCAAGAAAGAAAGTTTATTTCAAGTTTCTTCAGCTTTTTGCGTCATGTGGTGACTGGACTCCTGGACATCCCATCCGTTTTCTATTTTCAATTTCTTTTAAATAATTTATTCTAGTATTTTAAAACTTTTTTTTTTACAAACAAATTTGGATGAAATTCCACGAGCTCGTTGGAAATATATTAAACTATGCCCAATGAATTTTTCGTGAAAAAGGTTCCAATGATAAAGTATTTAGGTTCATATTCTGTATGATGAAAAGGCATATTCGATGAAGCCACAAGGGTCGTAGTAAACGACTCAATAATGCAGCAGAACTAAATAATTATTAGAATACCTGACCGTAGTCGAGGCATTCCAGCTCATGTGGTCAAATTTTAGTCACTTTCGTTGGGCTTCAGACTCCGATTTGCGTGAAAAGTTTGTGTTTGTTGACATCGAAGACTTATGAAAATATTTAAAATTCTAGCTCCCTGGCTCTAACGGTTTTCGAGATATGCTGCCCTAAACTTAGCCCCCAGGAGGAAAAGTTTTTTTTGGGAGCAAAAGCGCTATCTTTGGTCCAAGTTGAGCTAGAAAAGTGTATTTAAACTTTAATTAAAGCTGAGACAATGCAGGGTTGCATTATTAAATGCTTTTTCTACTACGTTCATTGACAACTGAGTTACACAAATTCCAAAAATGTAAATATTGCCGAATTTTGCACGCAAATTTTGAGCACTAGGATGTATGGAAACACAACGAGCTTTTGCAACATTGTAGACTAAACAATGCCAATCCAAGAACTAAATTTAAACTTCCTACGATCTTTGAAACAATTTAAAATTAAATGTGAAAAGTCCAATTTTGCCTATTTTCACCAACTTCGGCGGTTTGTACATCCTGTTTCAAACGCGATCCAAACTAGAAACTAAAGTGTAATAAAAGCTCTCTCTAAGTTCTTTCCAATGATGTATTATGCTGTTGAATTCAATATTCTCGTCTGTGTAATTTTTTGAACGATTGGCCTTGCCAGTTTCCTCTTGAAATGTTTTACCCAAAGAACCAACTATGGGAATCCTGGTGAAACAACCATGTCCAGGTATATCTCACCAGTGACCTATAAATAGCTGTGGTTATATTTAATACCTGTTCCAAGCTTTAAAAAATAATATTTGAAGTTTTATGGACTTGCAACTTCAATTGTGCTGACCTTCCTTTATCCTTGACGCTTCCTTTACATTTCAGACTAAGCAGACTTCAGAATGGAATTGTGTTTCTTCTAAGTGTCCGGTCATTGCTACAAAACAAGCTACATATAATTCTTTCAGTGAAAATGAACAGGAAATTTTGAGTCTTAGGTTTGGAAAAACCAGGAATGTATTGAAAAACCTTTGCCTTCATCGAACAAGGTTGGTTAGTGCGATATACTCTTCTTAAGGGATCGAAGACCTGTCGTGATTCCTTCAACAGCTACAGGAGGACAGTGAAAGGAGGTCGAGTTATCTCCTTGAACATCGGCAAAAAAATTCATTCTTTTTGTCTGACTCCAGGATGGAAACTTGGTGCAACATGTTTCATGAAGATGTCCACTTTTCGCTCCGGGCAGCATTATGACATCTCAGCAAACGCTTTCGCTTCTTTTCTCCATGTACGATCGAGACTGCATCCTTCTGCTCCCGCACAAATTTTAAATATGTCGTCTTCTTGGTAGAATTGCTCCACCAGATCAACTTTTTTGCCAGGCAGAGGTTTACCCTTCGTTGAAGGCTTGCTCAAAATTCCGTTTTTTTTTTGCACTACTCCGGGCTTTTCTTATTTGACGATGGGGTGCTCCAAAAATGTATGGGCTCTGCTAAGAGACAAACTTTGACATCTTCATGAAGCATGTTGCACCAAGTTTCCATCCTGGAATCAGACAAAGAGAATGAATTTTTTTGGCGATGTTCAAGGATATAACTCGACCTCCTTGAACATGAATCCACTTGTCCAACCTGCTACTGAAGGTATTTATGGCATTCTGGAGATGCTCTACAGGAGCAAACGCAAGTGTCTGCCTAACATAGCAAGGTTCTTGAAAGTCGAAAATTTTCAAACCTAAATGCTTGTGTGATCTGTAGGCGTTATCTGGGAGACACGTTGCAACTCAGGCGTGGTAGAACCGGCGATTTTAAATTCGCCAATTAAATAATTCACTGGATTCAGAGCATTTACGAGCGCCTACGGGCGAAACCGATGAGTTCCAAAGCTGCAGACTTCGACGCGCATACGGCAAAGAGTTTCGTCTGGACCTTGCATGTTCACGATAATTACAGCCGTTTCAAATTCTGAACGTTGCGGTGGACACCGTTCATGATGATTCATCGTGGAAGAAAGAAAAACTTACAACGAGGTCGTACGAGGTGTTTGTGAGGATACTGGCGATGCTCGATCCGTTGAGCTGAGAACTCCAAAATGCATTTCCAACCAAGAATCCTCCACCATCGACCAATATCGTTTTGTCGGGAGGTAGGGAAGATAGAATTTTCTTGAGACGTGCCAGGCCTCCTATTTCTGCTCCGCTTGAGTTTTTACCTTCTAGAGTTAAAAACAAAAACCTCTCAAATGATGGATGTGATGAAGCGCGCGTACTTGTGCGTGAGCTCAAATACAGGGTGATCCAGCCTTAGATACTCCACTGAAAAGTACAGGGAGATTTAAAAACAAAAAAATCCCTACCATTTTCTATGGGAGAAAGTAAGATTTCTATATTCAAGCAAAAATTATGAGATCGATAAACTCTTGATATTGGACATATGCAAGGTGTTGAGATGATAGTCTGTTTGTTTCTTTTTTTCAGAAAAATAATTCTCTGCGCCATGCATTGTCCCGTTACGAAGTTTCCATGGAGATCATTACACCTTAAGCGCAGTAATGGTCCATCCATCATATCAAAATTCAATTAAAGTAGTTTGCTCAATGTCAGCCCTTTAACCGATTATAAAAAATATGTATATATTTTGATAGGGTGCTCTTAGACAAGCCTGAAAGTCTTTTTTTTTTTTTTCTGAGCAACAAACACCTGTATGACCAAATTCAGAAGATTACAAGTCACCATTCAATTTTCTTTCACCATATCTTTTGAAAGAGCTTTCAGATGCAACTGATATTTGGCGCAGTGGCTCGTGGGCCTATACATTTTCTTTTCTACCTAAAAAGTGGCGTGGAACGCAGATAGGGGACGCTGCTGTCGACTACAGTGCCCTCTATGGGCATACAATCTTGCGATATGTGAAAAAGCCTCTTAGACTCATGAACCTCTCTGTCAAGTGTCAGCTACAAACACGCATCATTGCATGTTGTCAGCAAATTACATCTGTTAAATGTTGGACAAAGTGTATCCGGAGAATGCTACCAGATTTCCTAAGTGTGTTGAGCTTGGTAGGTCTCAAATTGAGGCTTCAAAGCAACAGATTGTTGTTGCTGTAAAATTTCCATACACTTTTGGTGGGGTATCTGAGGCTGGATCACCCGGTAGAGTTCTGATCTGTCCAGTACCAAGAGGAGGTTGGGTGAATGGGGCTTCGCTCTCCTCGTAGAGCCCTTCGTAGTATCCGAAAATGTCACCGGTGAAGACGATCTTGATCTCTTCTTCTCCAATTGTCCATCCGGCCAAAATCAGCAAAGCCAACACCAGGTTCCACCTCATTTTTGTCTCTTCGCTCTCCACTCTCACTCCTCTTCCAGAATAAATGTATTAAATGTAAGTACCACGTACAGTATCCGCGTGTGCTCCGTAGCGATCGCCTCCCTGTCGCACGGATCGGATCAGCGAACTCTAGAATGGAGAAACTTGGCGATTGTGACTATTTTTTCATATCAAGTCAACAGCTCGACGAATGAGTAAATGAAATAAATCTAAATTATCTTCATCGTGAACTCTTTTCTGTTTTAAAATCAGGTTCTTCGGCAGATCGAGACAGGAGTGCTTTTCGGCGAACTCCGAGAACAAAGCATTTGTCGAGTTTCAATGGGAGAACTAGTCTTTCTCTTTATAGGCCATTATAGTTTATGCTCTTAGGAACTGTTTCCCGAGATGGGAACGATGGCAACTGAGTACATGGTTCGCGGTTCACCTGAACAAAAGACGAGGGGTGTTCAAAACGTTCCGAGACTGGTTCTGTATTCCTTAATGCACAGATGCAAAGATTCTGATAAGGGTCTGTCCATGGTGTCGGATGTGACATCCGGAGTAATATTTTTAGTATACAAAATGTATTTAACTATATTATGGATGACGAATCAGCATATGAAAGCTGTAACAATTTGCTTTTGGTGGTGACTGAAAATTCCATAATCCAAAGTCTTGTGCTCTCTTACGTTAGAGGTGTACCTGTGTACAAAGAAAAGTGTCAGACGTGACATTCCGTGAACCTCAAGTTAAAGTCACTTGCACTAATGTTCACATATCTGTCATCAAGCGGATCCAAATAATTTAGTTTCGTGTTCATTCTATAGATTGAATGAACGTTTGAAATTAGTGAAAAAGTCACCCCAAGATGTCAACACTTGAAACAGAATGTAAGCCTATTTTGTGATGGTGTTGGATGTGACATGTTCTGAAAGTGTGTTCTGAAAATTTTGAAACGAGAAGTCTGTGCATATATATTAATTTTATTTTAAAGATATCATTCAAATGCGAACAATTGACATCTACTCTTCACACCTGAGCTGATCTGAAATTATCAGTATGCATGGAAAGCCCATGCTGGCATCTGTTCCAGTAGTCTAATTCAGTCTCTCCAAATTTGCATTTTCATCATATTTTTCAGTATCATGAGATTGGTATGAATAATATAACATAATCATGACTAATTCTTTCATTTTCCAATGTAATATTCTCTTTCATTCATGTCTTCTGGGAAAAGAGATGATGAACTTCTGTAGTGAAAGTAATATTTGCATACTTAGGAAAATTTCCGGCTAAAATTCTAGGACCACTTGGCGTAGACAGACCCATAAGTATCTTGTGTTCCTATATTGAGGGTGCATAGGCGAAATTTCATGCTTATTGGTTTTCATTTGGCTTTTTCAATAATTTATTTTTCATGGAAAACATTAAACGTTGCATACCGTATGAAAATGGTCGCGGAATTGCTTTCACCTCCATAAAATTCGGAGGGCCGTCAAACTTTACGTGGAAGTGGGCTAATGTGCCAAGTAATGTGCCAAGCCCCACAATCCTTGAAGGCATTCCAGCGACGCAAACGATTCACGAAAAAAAAATATTGATACATTTAACAAGGGTGATTCGAAGTTAGGTCGAACATCGACATCAGTAAAGAGCGTAATCTCACGAGAACTCCTGGATGCCTTGAAGGGAAAAGTCCAAGTTCTCGAAGAGTTCAGAAATTCTCACATTCCGGACTCTCTGAAGGATTTCTTGTACTTTTGTTTCCCAACTCACGTCGATGGCTGATCGGCCACCATCGCCGATCTTGGGTCGTTCGCGATCACTTTCCTTTTTGAAGTTGTATTGGGCAACATCGTCCAGCGGCATGGAGAATCTCTTTCAATACGGCTTGCACAACTTGCCGCGATTATTTTCCCCATTAAAAAAAAAGTCATGGCCCTCTAAATTTCCAACTTGCGTTATCAGATTCCTCATTTTCACTGGGTCGATGAAAGTGTCCATTAAAAAATTATTAGAAAAGCCTAATGAATCCCATTGAGCATGAAATTTCGCCTGTGCACCCCAAATATAGAAACAAGATAATTATCAGAATTTGCATCAAAGAATACTGAATACAAAGAGTACATCAAAGAATACTGGAGATACAGAACCAGTCTCGGAACTTTTTGAACATCCCTCGTAGTTCGTAGGTCGGATCCTTCGCCCCAGAGAGGCGCAATAAACAGCTTTTCGAGCCGTATACGCCTCGAACGTCGCTTCGCCCATAGCCGGAGCGAAACGGATGAAATTCGGCGAAGGTATGGAACTCGTCTACGGAGAAACGATGGATGTCGCCCCACTCGTGCATGGTAGGGCTCCATCAGGGTGAGTGCCTTATTTTTTATGGAAAATGTCAGGAAACAGTGAGTCAGTCGAGTTCCAGTTTTCATCTGAAACGGCCTCGTTGAATTGAACAGAAACAAGGCTGTCCCTAGGGATCTTTTATAAATTGTGAATTTCTGATGCCCACCGAAACGAAGTGAAACTTGTGACCCCAAGCGATCTCGAAATTCTCTTTCATATGGTATGTAACGCAAACTTTCATCTAAATCACTACAGGAGGAAGATGACAAAGATCACAAGAAATGAAATTTCACACCTCGCGAACCGTCTGGTGCAGATACCTAATATTTCGGATTCTGGAGTTTTCTCTGAGGCCTGATAGCCATAAATGTTTGTTTTTTTTTTTGGCCGAGCGTCACCCATCATGTCGGCATATGTGGAATGAAATTCATTTTCGTTCCGTCTGACTCTGACTTTCGAAATACGTCGATAAAAAACCTGCTAGCCTTGGGCATCGTCGTGGGCACTCAGAGAGACTCCTTCGCAGTTAATGTCCGTGCCTTCCCCTCACTTGCCGATACTGGATAGCGTTTTCGATCGTGGAGTAATTTATCGGTATTTGGAATTTCGATAAACCACAGAGGCGATGCTCGTGACGTGCAAATGAGTCAGCCTCTTTTCGCCGAATTCTTCCTTTTTTTTCTTTCGTCAGACGTAACGGAGGAAATCGGGCGGATCTCCATCGACATGCAGAGATGCGAAATTTACTGACGACACGTTATCGATACCACTTTCGTGCGAGAGTTTTTAAGTCGTCAGGAACTCCCCGGATTCTCAGAATCGGTCCGACTAGGGTTTTAATTATAATCTGCTTTTGCCAGAGTTCGAATGAAGAAGAACGAAGAAGATAGTTTGAAATGGGTTATTGTGCTCCCACACCACCCAATTCTCTGAGCACACCTCCACACGAGGAAGGATGAAACTTTATTTCAGAAACGGCGTGTCCCTTCCTTCTCTACCCCCCCCCCCCCTTCATTTGCAGTGATAGGCCCATAAAAAGCAGTTTATTTAAATAAAAATCTGTCGGAATCGTAATGAACGATGTCTTACCTGAAGACGAAGTTGAGATAGGAAAGGAATGGCCGACTGGGTATGTTGGAACGCCACGGCTCTCTCAGAGTCCCTGTTTTCTTTACTCAGATAGCATATCTTATTTACAGTGTGCGTCTGGTCTGTCGTATCTTATCCGACCCCCTCGCACCGCGTAAAGGGGCTCCACGTATGTCCAAGCTCTTCCATATCGTGTAAGTTGCATCGGTGGATGAAATATGAACGTAGAACATCGAGTGCCACTCGAGGAAAAGCGGTGCGAAAAATACGAGCAGCAAGGTTCAGCAAGGCACAAAGTTGCATCTCCGTACCGCATGGGATTTTGATATTAGAAAACGGACCGACGAGGGTGCGTTTTCAGAGACTACAATGTCCGATATCGCGGGACGTGAGATTTAGATGGGATAGAATAAGATCTGGCGAGTGAAGGCCGATGCACACCGACAGCGAAGAGTTGCGACCGTCTGCGAGGCCCGCAGTTCTTTCTCGACTGCGAGCTCATGCGAAGCATTTTTCCCACTGGTGGCAGAGCAACCGAACGAGATCCGAATTGGCTGCGTGCAACGCGAGGGCTCGTACTGCTGCACTCGTCCTTGCGAAGCTTAAAGCGACCGAATGCGAGGGTCCCGCCCATCCCTAGTGCGACGGTCGCAGATTTCGCTACGCAGCAGTCTTAAAACACTCTTAGCAGTCGGTGTCCAGCGGCTCTAAGAGTTTCCTCGAAAAAGGCCGTGATGAAAAACAATTTTGGACCCACACATATGCATGCGGATGGTGATCTGAATCATTAAGAATCCAGCAATCATGGCGAAATCAGGATATGGCAGCAGCACGTGGCCTCAAACGGACAAACAAGGCCGTGATGAAAAACAATTTTGGACCCACACATATGCATGCGGATGGTGATCTGAATCATTAAGAATCCAGCAATCATGGCGAAATCAGGATATGGCAGCAGCACGTGGCCTCAAACGGACAAACAGAACTCATTTTTGTTTGCGTTTCATGTAGAAAAAAATGTTCACATTTTTTCTTCCAGCCCATAAATTTTTTCCCATTTCTCAAGATTGATTTTACAACATGACGAAGAGATATAGCTCGTATTTTATTCCATTTTTCTCTAAATTCAACACGGGGTAACATCATTTCTACTGTATAAGTGATTTCGTGCCTAAATTTGCGAACAAGGATTAAGAGTCACTCAAGGATAGACAAATTATGATTTCGGTAACGTTTAGCTGCTGCAAGTTCCTCGATGAGGGGAATCCAGACGTTTTATTGGCTCTTCGTTTCGCGTGCGAATCGATGAAGCCGACAGGTGTCGTAAGACTTTGCTGTGCTGCGCCAACGAATGATACAGCATACTCGAACGCCGGTATCGTCGACCTTCGAGCGCCGGCGTGTTATCTGGAGCAGAGAAGGTGAAAGCAACGTTTGGGGCCGCTCTCGTCAGATGGCACAGCAAGACGGAGACGATCCTCCAATCTCCATATGAATGAGGGCTAAACGACCGTTCGCGTCTTGGAGGATTCGAGGGACGTAAATGATCCAATGCATGCTTCCAATGTTAGCTTCCCCCTTCCCATTCCACCTGCAGAGCCTGGAGCGTTCTAGAAGTTGAATTCCCCCGTAGGTTGGAGCCAAGCAAGGAAATTTTTGCAATTCTTTCGTTACGCACACGCCATCATCGCCGCATCTCTGAAACTCAAAATTTACTGACGGGATTTCGTGGTGACTCGACGCCGGAGAGATCTGAACTTGCAGATCCGGACATCTCTGACATCACGCTATTCGCTTTTTGCACAGTAACGAAGCTTCGTAAAAGTCTACGTCGATATCGATAGACCTGCATCTGTGTGGTGTGGCTTACATGCATGACGAAGTAGCAGAAGAGGGAAATTCGAAAGCAGACAGGCATTCCGTCCATCCTCTCAAGTCTTCCTTTTCAAGAATGGAATCAGGCATTCATCTGTCATGAGCGACCTTTTCCAACGAAGCTGCGGGAGAGAGATTCGGGGAGAAGAGTTTTTAAGTATGTCATCGCCTGTATCACTAATTGATCTATGACGTCATATGTTGACTCAGTGGCTTCATGTTCAGGATGACATTTTGGGTTTGACTCGTAAACCCATCGACTGTTATACATGGTGCCAAGAAACCTTTTGCTCGGGGACTACAGCCAGAAGTACACAACAGACCTCAGTGCATTTAGCATCATTCTAAAGCTTTCTTTTTCTGCTTCTCGGATGACCTGAGTGAAACGATCATGGTCGGCCTTCTTGGTGATAGTGAGGAAAAACGAGTGGTGGACCATATTCGCTGGGCGCAATGACACTAGATGGCGCGCCGCCAATGACTGGGGGGGGGGGGGGGGGGGGGGATAGAGGTGAAGTAGAAAAGAAAGTGGGCCAAATATGAGGCACGCTGCGACACCCTGCAACATGGAACCTGATAAAATTCTTGTACATCCGTTACAAGATGAGGCAATTGATCTCGCAGAGGAGAATGGGACAAGTCAAGTCTTCACAGAATTCCAGGATCCTTCTTCCTGTGAGGGTTCTCCCAATTTCTTCTCAAAACTTGAGAGCCACGACGATGATAAAGGAGCTTCTGGCCGAAGTAAAGCATGTTATAAATACGAAATGATTTATAATTAAATGCGGTGAACAAAAACGAAATTCAAAACTTAATCAAACTTCACCTTGAAAGGAGGCGCAGGTTTTCCTCAGAGCCACTCACCGATGCAAGGATTTCCATGGAATCAAGGATATCAGTGGTGTGCATGTGCATGGTATGAGTGGGGTACCACTAATATTTTCCAGTTTCTTATGGAATTCACTACAACAGGAAACTGCTTGATACTTGATGAAGTTTGACTCCCGTTGCCTCTGTATTCTCTCAAGTGCTGCCAACTTTTTTTTTATCAGTTGTACTTCATGGGCTAAATCATAACCCATGACAGAAACCCCTTTTCGATTAGTACCTCATGACGAAACTTATCGAGAGTTAATGCTGGCTATTTATCTTGTGACAGCAAATGCCAAGTTTGATTTTTATAGGTCCATGGAAAGCGAAGGCCCTGACTGAAAGAAACATGATGATAAGCCTTTCAGGCTGCCTGGATACTCCAAGTAGAAACTTGAGACCATAGATTACTTTCCTACATAATCATTCTTGGTTGATTTCAAAGCCGCAGTTCAGTTGCAGTTGAACTACAGTCCGAAGATGGTCCCAGTTCGGTTGCAGTTGCAGTCGACTGAAACTACGACTGGACTTCCAACGGACTGAGATTTTGAAATCATTCTCCAGTTCCTGTTTGACTGCATTTGGACTATAGTCAGACTGAAGTTGCCACTCGCCTCGGTTATTTCTCGGTTCAACTGACCAAAACAGCAGTCAGTTGTGGTCCGACTTCTTGTTGGTCCATTCATAACTTCCTTGTCCGTTATTGATATAGATGAATTGAAACGGTTCGACGCTAGCCACAAATAGGTGTCATGTTCACGATTCGGTTCGTCGTTCGGTACGTGTTCCGCTGCATACGTCGCTGCTTTAGGACTTAATCGCATGTGGGGTGTTTCATAGTCACGATTTGCAAATGGCAAAGGCAAGCCTTGTATCGTCCTCGTTCCACCGTGACATGATAAGGAAAAGCAAGCAGCACCAACTTAAACTCAGAGGGAGAAATCAAGACAGATGGGTATTTATTAGCTTGACCTTCCCCTCGAGACAGTTGCCTAAGGGTAGGTCTACTTCGAGTTCTCCAGGCGCCATGACAGAAGAGAGGCTTCAGACTACTAATTGGTTGGAACCATAGTCACGCTTTGGTCAGACTGAAGTCTGACTAAGATTGGATGGGGCGTCAACATAGACTCTCGCAACTGCAGTCTGACTTGTGTTCAAATGGCACATTTCGACTATTCTCGGACGAAAAACCCAACCGTAACTTTAACTGAATTGGAACTGGAACCGAATTGAAACTGAACTGCCCTTTTGAAATCAGTCTTGGCCTGAGGAAATCCCTCTGGCAGAGAAAGAAAAGCATTTCCGAAGTAAAAACAGTCTCTATCTACATACTTCCCTAAGAAACACATTGAAGCTTGCGCGTTTCCCCCCCCCCCCCCCCCAGCTCGCTTTTATGCTTCCTGTCGCCAGATGTCTCCAACTTAATGCACCCAGCGAATACGCGCGAACGCGCACTTTCTGGGAATTAAATTAGCGCCTCTCTTCATGCCCTCACGAAACGCGTTCGCGCGTATCCGGTCCATCACTCGTTTTTCCTCACTATCCCTAAGAAGGTCGACCATAATCGTTTCCCTCAGGTTACACGAGGAACAGAAAAACACAAGCTTTAGAAATTATGCTAAGAACACTGAGGTCGGTTGCGTACTTCTGGCTGTAGACCCCTAAGAAAATGTTTCTTGGCACCCAGTAGAGATTTTCCGTCAAAAGAAATTCAATGTCTGAAAATTCTCTTGGAGATCTAAAGAAAAACGTAAGAATAGACCCCTCTCCTTTCTTCGATTGATTATGGACAGGGAAAAACTGGTGCATGGAAGCTTAATTCTCTCTCACGGTTTAACGAATTGCAATTTTCCACATTAATGAGAGAGTCGAATAGACGCAGAGGGGGATAAACACAACCGAGTGGAATCGCTCTTTCTCCCTTCGATAGGGTATGAAAAGAGAGGCTCTCCTGGTTGAAGCCTGATAACAATACCGGGTCTTCAGACAATAGAATAGAGGAAGAGAGAAAAGTCGAGCTTTCTTTTATATCGACGGCTCTCGGGATCAACATTGACAAAAGCTCTTCTCATTTCCCCTCGGCATCCCGAGACTACACCCCATCGTGCAATATATAGTCTTAGTCCATACGCTTGATTCACTCGATATCGCATAAGCTTCCACGATGTGGGTCCTTGGTTTTTTTTTTCGCAGGGATCAATCCGCGGCATTGTGGTCTGGTTAATTGATGAAAGAGGAAAGAATAGTACGGGCATCGCCTCTCCTATTCGTCGTGTTGCGATTCCCCCTCCTTTTCTTGCCCGCAAAGAGTATTTCCGGAGAGAACGGGATGGAGATGCAGATCAAATTAATGGAAATGTGGGAGAAGCCGAGGTGATGGAGTGGGAATGCTTTTCCACGCCTTTGTTTGCTCATCACATTATCCGTCTCCTCTTCCTCGTGGATTGTTGGAATCGGGTGAGGGTATTCACCCGTTCCGAATCTTTCTACTTTCCGCGGCGACTTTCGTTTGTTGGGCGATGTCCTTCCCCGTTGCAGTCGTTCGGAATCGAAAAGACGGACGACGGAACGAAATTGTGAAATTGGATGGAAAATGCAGGAAATGAATGAAATGTGGCGATGAATAACATCTCGAGCATCGGAGAAAAGGGGTTTCGGAATCACAAGAGCGAAGGTAAAAGCACCGTTCGCAGCTGGCAGGGCCGCGCAGGTCCTACGTACACAAGTATGGTATCTACAGTATATGGTGTGTTACCCAGACAATGGGGCGTGTGAAAGGGCTTGTTTCATTGTGAAGGGAAGACAGGCGTGACGAAACCCGGCTTTTCACATAAGTCTCTCGGATGGTGGTCTACAACACCCCATACGGCCCCGTTTGACATGCTTCATCTACATATGCCTATGACTAATGACATGCCTACATGCACGCTTATCACCGTGTATAATGCGTGAGGGTATCGTCGACCGACGGGTACACAAAACGCGGCCTCCGATCCTCCAATTGCAGCATTGTAAAACAACCGCTTTGATTATCTACTGTTGTGTGTTTGTTCGGAGAGACTTTTATTCCGTTTATCGACACGTGAAGGGAAGACTTGCTACGTCGGAAAAAGACCGATCGAACCGGTGCTTTGCAAGGCTGCAGCTTTGATGAGGTGCTTTCGTACACGGATGATCGTCAAAGCGACGACTAGAAGCGACTTCTCTTTCTCCCCCTCTCAATTTGGAGCGAACCTCCACAATTTGCATGATCCATATCGTCGCCCTTTCCCAAGTTTTCTCTCCTCGTTGGGGACAGCAGATTAAATCCTTCCACTCGAATGCCTCCATAGCTTGCATTTCGATCATGCTTTCAATGACTTTCAGACTTCCAGACACAAACGTGAAAGAGGGAAAGAAAGAAAGGAATGAAAGAAAAAAAAAGGAGAGAAGAGGTTAGCGAGTTGACAGTAAGCCGTCCATCCATTGTGAGATAGAAGTCATTTTATGAAATGGACTGTGTTGTCAATACCGGGGAGTTCATTTCCGAGTCTGGGGGTCTCCCAGTGCCCTGGTGTGATAAGACTCTTTTTCTCCTCCCCCTTACAGGAAGAGCTTCTCCTCTCTGATAAAACCCGGCTTTGCACATTTACCATGCCATCATTCACCCCTCCACGATCTTTTCCTCTCTTCTTGTGGCACATCAAGTGGGACACGTGCATCTAATCTCCTTTGTGCCCAAGCTCAATCCGCAATACTGGGGCATTTTGTTCATCTCATGATGTCATAATGAGGCTATGCAGAGACAGAAAATCGAGCACTTTTCAACTGGGCTGATTTTATCTTTCGTACCATCATACATAGACATCACTGGATAAATACTCGGGGATACGTATATATTAGAGGGATAGTAGGGCATTGAATTATGGAATCAGGTAGGGGTGGAGAAGGAGGAAGTAGAAGGAGGAGGAGGTGGGGGGGATGAAGAAGAAGGAGAAGGGGAGGGTGAAGGAGGGATGGGCGGAGGGGGGAAATAATAAGGAGAGTGCTGAAGAGCGAAAGGTGAGCAGGAGAAACATGGGAGGTGGTAAGTGAGGAGATGGTGATGGGGAGCAGCCAAAGTTGGTGTCGTGGACGTAGTAGAAGTGGACGTGCTCAGGAGAGAGGTTGGGAACCATGGTGACTTCTTGGCGCTCACTCCTCCTAACCTTTCCTTCCATTCACTTGGAATCTGGAACAATAACAACGTATATAACATCCATTTTTCCGCTCCCTCTGCCCCCTTCGATAGACAATCTTGGAAAATACAATAAGACCTATAGTGGGACCTGCACGTAGAGGGTGTTTCACTATTTATGAACCAATGGGGAATCTATTCATTTTTGCAGATATTCAATATGAGTACTACTCGTAGCCAGGCATTGGTAAAAGCAACTGCGCGAAAGATGACGAACACGCTGCAGTACACGTGAATTCGTGCGCATACACGAAGTTCCTCTTAACGCGGGTTAACGTCTACGTTTAAGCTTTCCCTGGAAATACGGCTAAGCGGCGTCTCTAAGGTCTGTACAAGCTTCAACGGCTAAGTCGACCCAGCGTCTTTCCGAGGGATATAGGGAGAAAGCGTTTCAGGAGGGGATCACTCTCCCATGGGAACGTATTGTCATAATTTATACATAATAGTCAATTTTAGATAAGTCGAATTTAGCGGAAAGCGCCTATTTACGAAACTAAGATGGGAGCGCGGTTCACAGGGTTCACGGATAACCTCTACCGACTCGGTCAGGCCTCTAACAAGTTTCTTTCACTCAATCAGCTTCATGCAACTCAACAGGTAAAAATATAAAAATAAATAAATTTTAAACCAGGGCTGGGAAGTTAGAGGAATTCAACTGTGTTGCCTATCTATCCCAAATGATCTCCGAGGATTGCGTCTTTGGTGCGATGATGTCTACCTATGCCTTTGCATTCGCAGTCGATGATGATCAGTCATTGAGGAAAGAAATGTATTCTCTAACCGTTCATAACAGCACCGGCACAGGCAGTATACGTAATTAAGGATTCCACTTCATTACGCTCAATCACTGTTTTTGGCTTTTATTGGAACATCAAGTTTCCTTTGTTGGATCTTAAACAAAAATTTTAAAATAGATATTTAGTCTGGGTAATGGAATGAACGTCTTTTATTCACTACAGTAACTACAGTACGCATTGGCTTTATTGGGGTATTGTTATTATTTTTTGTACTCCATTTAAATAGATGGCTTCAAAATGTTGAAGGAGAAAAACACTTGACTGCTGTGCACCCGAAGAAAGAACCCAAACAACTAGATGTCTAAAACCCTTCGATCGAGACATAATAATAATCATTTCTCCAAAAGCAAAGGAACAAGACTAGACGAATATGTATATGGTACCTCCGCATTACTGACGAACTAATAGAGTTCGCACTGATACTGGATCGGAAATTTACATCAACTCTCATCACATCAACTAAATAGGTTTCCTACACTATTTTAATTATATGCTTCATTATATGCGTTATGTACTTACGAAGAAATACAAAGTATCTATCTGTTGTACTTTATTTATGGAAAATACTCCATAGGGGAGCGGCGTAAACCGGAATTTCTGAAATGTAATTCACTTCCCGTACTGACATGTACGACATGCATATAATCGAAGCTTACGACCTACTGATCACGTTTCGGCCTGTCCCCATCAATTCCGAACGTGTGGAGTCGAGATGTGACCGAATTTTGAAATGGCTACTCCAGCCTGAAAATTGAATAGTAACAAACCTCCCTTCCCCCTCGGAACTCTTCATCTTCATCATCTTGAGAAATATGCTAACTCGTGTACTCGTAATGTTGTGATCAGACAGTAATTATTTGTTAGCCCTTCTTAGTTTAAATCTACTAGTTCTCAATTCTCGTACTTACCATGTGCACAAGTATCAAAGTAAACTAAACGATTGTCCATTCCTTTTCCATGAAAGCCAACTTAAAAAAGTTAGCTTTCATCGGTATATTTCTACTTTGTGTGCCATCTCATTGCCATACGCATCAGCACCATTGTATAAACATTCCTATCCACAAGTCATACCATTGCTGACAAAGCTGCATTTATTAGTGTGAGGTTCACTACGGCGACATGAACACAAGAGGTTGTCCAACATTTCTGCTCACCCTCCCTCGAACAGAAATTTACGACATGCATCAAATCGAAGCTTAAGGGAATTGTCACTAATGCCATTTTGGACATTGGGAGTGACGGCCATTTACAAAAATACCAGTATTACTTATTTTGACAGATTCAAAGTTTAACCATCAAAACTAGATTCCTGTTCCTAAATTCTCCTCTTTTAGACACCAGACATGTGATAGCAGGTTAGTTACTATTTCAACTTACAGGTTGGAGCAGCCATTTCTAAACTCGGCTGCTATCTTGTCCCCGTACTCAGAATGGAGGACGACAGGCCAAAACGTCATCAGTAGACCGTAAGCTTCGATTTGATGCATGTCGTACATGTCTGTACGGGGGGTGAATTAAACATCGAAAATATTGTCATTTTTTGAGGTTCGCCACATTCCTGCCACTCAAACTCAAGAGTATTTGTGTTGTAAGGAAAACGTACCCTTATTTTAAAAACAACGGAATCGAGAAACCCTGCTGTGGATACGACGATGAATGGATTTCGTTCCTTGGCTTTCGAAGGATCATGGTAATAGCCATTGCAATAGATGCTGGACTCACCTCGTCTTTGACGTGTGAGAAAGAACTGAGATCTGGGGATGTCGGACGGGGGAAGGAGGAGGAAGGAAGAGGGGGAAAAGGTGAAGGATAGAGGTGACTCCGGCTTCGGATCCAGGTGGCGTGGTCGTCGAAGGTCAATAAAGGTGGAGGTGGTCGAGGCGGGATCACGTGGCCGTGGTTGGTGGTGCAGGCCTTCCGGCAAGGAAGCTGGGGCTTCTGCTTCCGCCTCGGACGGTACTTGTAATCCGGATGTTGCTTCATGTGTAGCGCCCTGCGGGTAATGAGCACGAAACGGACTTCTCAGTCGTCGTTTTATCGACACCCTGAATTTTTCCATCTCTGACCGTGCTCATTTTCGCGAAGTACATGCTGATGAATGTAACATTAAGTACACTCTGTGCTAGACGATCGAAACTTGGCTGTAGAGGTGAAGTAGAAAAGAAAGTGGGCCAAATATGAGGCACGCTGCGACACCCTGCAACATGGAACCTGATAAAATTCTTGTACATCCGTTACAAGATGAGGCAATTGATCTCGCAGATGAGAATGAACCTATAATCAAATCCCCTTTGGTTTTTTTTTGGTTTTGGTTTTTACTGGCGCAGTAGTTGAAGGCAGAATTGGTTTTGATTGCCATTTCGAGAACCATACCAAGGTCGTTTTCACATTTTCGTTACCAATGTTATTCCGAGCCAACGCCAAAGTGGTGATGGAAGTAGGTTCTTGCATACAATTGCACGGGAAAACTCCATGCACTGCATCTCCTAAAATGTATTTCACTGAATTTTCTGTGAAAGGCGAGGGCCTGTTCATGCAATGTGTTCAACTTAAAGTACGAATGATCGGCCAGAAGCACTCATGTCCCCGCTGAAAAAACAATTTGAGTGCTTTTTACCTATTTTAGAATACAGAGTTGCTAAACCTGAGCTTGGGATGTCGATGTGGGCATCGATGCTTCTTGATGCCCTTCGAAAACTGAGCCATGCTCCATGAACGGGATAAAAAAAAAATAATAAATAGAACGGAGCAGACCGAAACAGGGAAGGAGGATGCTTGGAAGTTGAGAAGTGGGTCTCGCGACCTTTCACCTTTCAGGGTCTTTCAGTTACTGTGAAAACGGACTCAAGTACACCATTCGAAGAAGAAACTTCGCGCTCCCCCCTACCTTGAGTGGATATTGGCCTTCCTTTCCTCGTTCATTGCTAGAATGCTAAAAACATTACATCCGAGGCTTCCTTGGAAATTTACGTCGCAATTCTTGGTATCTTATTTTGCAGAGTGGCACGGATGGGGTCGATGGGAAGTGTCCTCTCGAAGACAACATTGCTAAGCGCGTCTAGTAGTTAAAATTGGAAACTAAGCCTTTCTCGTGTCATCAATGAAGCAGTACTGAAAATGCTGACGAATGTTATACGAGTTGAAGTATTCATTCAGCGCACTTCTATTAGAATAACTATTCGACCGATTTATACTTATGTGATCCAAGGACTATTTGCTGGAACCGAGAAAAAGTTTCTATAGTCATGGACAAATAACGCGAAACCTGTGATAATATACTGTACACGATGTCGATGACCCGGTGTCATCTGAAGCACTCCATAGGACGAAAAATACTTATGCCATCTCGGTCAATTCCCTAGCTTTTTGTTGTTTTTTTATGTGCAAAATACGGGTGCCAGGGGTAGAGTACGCGGTATTTTCGCAAGGGGAGGGATCGGAGGGAACGAGGGGATCTGGGAAACAGGGGACTGAGGGGAGGGGGGGGGGGGGGCTACGAGATATGTAACTAGATAAGACGAGGCAGCAGCCGCACATCAAAAGACAAAGGGAAGGGGTTGGTAGGACCAAAGTTCTCACCGAGGAGGGGTTATAGTGGGAGCAACAAGGATAGCAGGAGTTGGTTGATCCCAACGCACTTTTTAGCGCATGGTTATGCTAAGAATATACAGTACTAATTATTCATTCTGGAGAACGCTTTGACAAGCCCCGTTCTGTGATCTTGGACACCGAAAATGTGTCCCGTCCTGTGACGAGAGATAGTCACACGGTGGGACGTACCATCCTGTGCAATGCTGTCATCCCTCAGTTCTCCGCTTTCTCAAGGTTTCCTGTGTCGATACGGAGGATCGTCCGCGACAGCTATCGAGTGGAGTGTGAATACGCCACCTAATCGTAGCATCTATTGAATCTCCTCAATTGTGGCTGCAATATTCGCCAGTTCCCTCACTTATCCTCGCCATCCATCTTCACTGACTTTTGTTACGTTATGAAAAGGCGAGAGGGCTTGTTAGGCGTAATACCGCTAACGTTGCACACCCCACGTCCCATTATCTCGATGAGATGTTTTATGACGCTTTGAGAACGTTGGGCAGAGGGTTTGCCTTTTTCCTCCTTGGAATGGAACTTAGGAGTACGTGGAATCGGATGATTCCATTGGGAAAATGCCTGAAGACGAATCCGGAGTGTTAGACGGAACGCTAGGTCGGGTTTGGATCATCATTCAATATTTCAGCTTCACCATATCAATCCAGACGATTTAAATCCAACTCTCCGGTTGAGTTTGACTATCGATACGAAGATCGATACGAATTTTTAAAAAGTAAAAAAATGGTATAAAAAAAAACAAAAAACAAGAAACAATATGAAAAAAGAATAACTTTTACCAACATATATCTCCTCTCCCACTGGAGCTATTTTCAGGAAACTTTCACTTTGCACAGATGGATATGCTTAAAAAATATATACTAGATTTCTTTCAAGTTCATTGCTGGGAGGCAAGGCTATGTACAACGATTTAAAAAAAGTTTGATTAAGAAAATGGACGCGAGCTCGTGCTGGTAGCGGAGTGGAAGACTCGCCCCGAGTGCACTGCTCCCTTATTATCCATCCCGCATTCAACTCTCTTCCGTTCAAATTAATTTTAATGCAAGTCTTTTCTTACATATAGTTTTGCTAAGTTTCCGATTAATGGCAAACGAATACATAACTATGAGAGCAGAGTCTGGTCATAGTTTATTTAGATTTTCCCTCGGTCTTCATCGGAGAACAAGGTAGGAGGACGAGGCACTCAGGAAGGATTCGAGTTCTTTGTCCGTTTTCCATTTCCAATTTCATTAGAATAATCAATCATGTTGCTTTGGCAACATCGATTTGGATGGAATTCCGAAGGTAAAGATAACATCGAAAGTCAGTGCGGAACACATCAATACACAGTGCAAATTTTGTGAAAGTAGCTCCGAGACATAAAAGTTAACAGTGGTTGGTCTTTTTGTCGTATATTAATACATGAGAGTGAAAATGAATTTTGCTGGGATGCAAACTGATTCGCGGACAGTCTTTCATAAATCGACGCACTACCATGATGACTCGGATAGTGTAAATGGCTCTATTGGCGTGTCGAAAGTTTTCTTTGTCGCATGCAATAAGCCTGCCCGTAAGAATCGATGCCGGGCTAACATTGTCATTCCCTGTTGAATTAGCGATAGGCGACTCGTTCGTGAATGATGTTTGCAAAGCATCGCTCTTGGAACAGGGATGCCAGCCACTGCTAGTGGGCTTCCTTCAACGGCTTTCGTGTTCAAACTCTTCTCATATTCACTGCTTCGTTGCAATACCGGGGTGGACTATACTCACGTCGCGTGGACTCAATCTTTAAACGCGTCCGGAATGCATAATTCTTTGAAAATTTTTTTAGGTATTTCACGAACTCGAGCATCGTACTCGACCTCATATTTAGGTTCGTTTCCCGTTCGTCTCACCTGAGTCGCTTGGCTTCGTCGATGAAAGGTCTCTTTTCCACCTCGGACAGCTTCTTCCATTGAGCGCCGAGTCTCTTGGAGATTTCAGAATTGTGCATCTTGGGATTCTCTTGGGCCAGTTTTCGTCGTTGGTTCTTGCTCCAGACCATGAAGGCGTTCATGGGCCTCTTGATGTGAGCGGAGTCCCCGTGTCCGTTTCCCTTCAGCAGCTCCATGCCGATCCGGTACGCTTCTCCCTCCATCATCCTCTCGCTCTGAAAATGAAATCCACCACTTTTCATCGGTTCTAATCCAACTTTTAGTTTCCTCGTGTGTTTTTTCTCGTTTACTTCTCATTAATTGTGATGATGGTTACATTCGATGGAAAAAAATTAGAGCTTCATAATCGTCCACGGAAAAATAGCAGGGAAATACGTTTCCCCGACCCCTGTCCAGTCAAAAATTCGCATGCAGTAGACAAAGTGCAGTCGTATCAGTCGTGGAAACAATGTATTCTTCATTCCTACGCACTGCTTTCTAGAGCCTTGTGAGTTTCCCGTTTCTGCTCTTCTCATCAAGGGTTAGGAAATCGGAAGCTCGGAACGGGCTCTGTTCAATGCGGTATCCAAAAAGGATTACTGCATTTCAGAATGTGGTATCTGCCACAGGTTCTGCACCAGTTGCGGGGTTTCTTGAGGAAAGTGAACTGCGATGAAGGAAGACTGCGTCCACAATGCACAGCGAAGTGGAAACGTACAAGGAGAGGTACAAATGTGACACGTTCATATTTGTGTCCTTCGGGTCCTCATCCGTGCGTACTTTTGTGCGCGTGTGGTCCAGACGTTCACATTGGTACGCTGCAGACGCAGATGTCCGGGTTTCCAGTACATTGCTCTAAATACGCGTAAGATGGCGCTTATGTTCATCCAAACTCGCGTCGGGACGCACCGGACCTTAGGAGAAGAGTTTTCTTCATTTCCCTGCCTTCCTTTCTCATGATACTTGTAAACTAATATTTGGCAAAAGTATAATTATCATGTTTCAATGGCAATCAAAGATTCTATAAAAATGTTAAATACTTCGGTTTTACACCAGGACAGAGAAGTGTAAACTGACAGGTTAGGAGTTTTTACTCTCGGACGAACGAGCAGTAACCTTCCAATTTTCTGGAGAGATTGTCTTTACAATGGTCTGGACTTGCTACGTACTGTAACCATGATAACTGGATAAGGCGCTGTTAATGAGACGGTCAGCACGTCCTGTAGCGTCATGGAGACATTGCCAAGCCGTCACCGTCTCCGTTAACACGATGGTGTTCGGAGATCTTCCTTATCTGTGACGGCTCGCCGACTGTCGGAGACGTGGGGCTGAATCATGCGAATGACGGTGTCACTAAAGCTCACTTCAAAGCTCCTCAAAGCTGAAAATTGAGGTTCATAATCAGATATTTTAAACGCCCTTAAGCCCGAAACGAGGTGCACGTGGGATTCCAAAGAAAATATCCCATCCGTACCTCCCGAATAGAGATAAGTAGGATACACATTTTTACCTTATTTTGCTCCGGTACCCTTTCAACGAACGTATTTTAAGACATACGTGTGTACCTCATAACGTACAAAATGTGTACCTCTTCGTACGTTTCTGCTTTGCTGTGTACGATATTCTATATTTATCGTCTCGGAGGACGACCTGAAAACATCAAGTGAAAACAACGAAATTTAAGGGTTTATTTTTTATATGTTGCAGAGATGTTTTTCATCAAGCTTGAGTGAGTCAAGCAGGAAAGCGTCCTTTTTTTGGTTTAGAACGAGGAATGTTAAGAAAGTAGGTACATTTTTATTTTTCCTGGAAGAACGGGTTTTCCCGAAGTCTTCTAATAGTATTTCCCGGGAAATATTACTAGAAGCCTTCCTTCTTCAGATAACCGCTCTTCCATTTTATGCACTTGTCCTACCTGTGCATGAGCTTCCGAAAAGGTCAACATGTGCATCTTGGAATATCTGTTTATGGTATTGGAAACCGGAAGATTCCAAGTTACTACGTCGCTGAATCCTCTGCGACCAAGGATATGTTCGTAGAGCTTCAGAAAGTAAAAGTAATGGCAGAAGGATTACTCCTGACTGCAAGGAGGTTGACATATATAAAATTTCACGAGAGAGGAAACTCCGCTTTTAAGAACGTTTACCTCCGTACCCTCACCTATGTATTGAATATATGAACGGTGAGTAATGACAGAAAGAATGAGGTCGCGGATGCCTCGATGAGATTCGTGAGGCCGGTGTTACGGTCCGGTGTTACGCCAAGTGAGAGGGTACGGAGTGCTACCATTCGTGAGAACCACAAGGTCGAGCATCTACTTCTGCGGATAGAGAGATCTCAAGCCCCGAGGTTCCGACACGCCTCCCCCTTTCTTCCCGATGAGTTTCTCAGTTTGAAATGACCTGCAGATCAGTCGGTAGGCCTCGTACGAGATGGAACGTTTACATCGGTCGACCACATCACTCTTTGTTCGGCATTCCACCTGCTGAGCTCGAGCCCGTTGCCTAGGATCGAGGGTGCTCCTCCTGCTTCAGCCCCGATCCTTTTACACGTATGTAGGGACGGGCAGCAATTACAATGAACGGATGAATAAATTCTCGTTATTAACCCCTATAGGAAATTAATATCTTAGAATTCTCAGCCAAACATTAAGCTCCCGTCTTCCTTTTAACGTCTTCCTTTTCTATTTACGTCGGGGTCTAAGCTGTTCATTTATGCGAAATAACTATATGCAAAATACAAATGGAGAAAAATAAATCCACTTTAAAGCGCATCGTAAAATAAGGCTGAATGTAACATTCCACTCTATTGCCATTTGACTAAATCGAACGATCTAATAATGGAATTATATGCAATGAAATCTTAACAAATGGGCGATTAAATTTTGAAAGCTTGAACGGTATTCCGTGATCCTGGAATAGAATGAAATCACTTTCAGCTGCTTATTTCTGGATAAGAGTCACATAGCTGCCGTCAGTTTCATCTTTCGCGCAGAAAAAACTTTGGAATATTTGCTGAAGGGCTTTCCGGATCGTTAGCACAGCATATGGGCGTGGCATTATACGGATCATCCATGCCTGATCGGTAGAGACAAAAGGAGATCCGTACGATTCGTTGTTAGACTTTGGAAGGATCTGGAACGAACCTGTCGGAGACGCGGCAGAGGAGGGAGGTGCAGAGGCAGACACGAGACTGCATTCCGCGCTTATGGTGCAATTTGTCAACCTCCTCTTCTCCTCCTTCTTCTTCCTCCTTCCGCCAATGGGGCATTGTCCCTCTGCGCCGCCTCCCCTTTTTATTGGCCCCCCTCCCCGCCCTTTGTTTTCATACACCATGCTCAATTCTCCTCATTCTTCTTTATCCCCTTTTTAAAGTGTAGTCGACGTCTTTCATAATGACATTTCTCTTCCTCTTTCTTCTATTCGTACGTCCGGTTTGCCTCCTTACCTTCATACTGCACTTTGTCGAGGGCCCTTAGTTTTATAGAAATTTTTTAATGCGACGTAAGTTTACTGCACGAGGGAGGGAACAATCGTGAAAAGTTCGCCCCCCTCTTTCTATTTCATTCCCTTCCCTTCCCTACTCCTGCCTATCAGAGAAGAATTGAATTGTGCTATTCGAGAGTGAATAGAAAGGGAAGCCAATATTGGGGTTCCATATTTATTCTATCGATTCCCACTCATAATGGGAAGTTTTTTTGAATAGAGACTCGAACAAAAGACTTAGCATCCCTGCTCCTGACACATTCCTATTATCCTCCAGGCTTCTTCAAGAAAAGAATGAAGAAAAGAGAGCCCCTGACTTAGCTTTCCTTTCCATCTCCCTATTCTCTACAGGCTTTTTCTTTCATCTCTCTCTCGTCGGTTTCAATACAGAGATGCCGGATTCAGATCTCTCGGTTCTTGCTTTCTTTATTTCCTCTGGTTCATGTCTGTTAAACGAAATGCATTGCGGTTGGAGAGAATAAATGTTCGAGGATGTCTCATTACCAACCATCGTCGAGATGATGCATCGAGTTAAATTGGCATTTCTATATTTTAGGGTTCACCATTGCGAAGTTGGGACGATGAAGCGAATCGCAGAGGCTACCGCTGAGGAATAAGTGGTGAAAAGGAACATTGAAGCCGAAGTGGTGGTTGCATGCTTAAAAGTGTTTAATGCGTTGGAATGTGGCGATCAAAGGATGCAGCGCATGTAGTTTCTCATTCTTTGGCGACTGCCTAGAACGAAAATGCGAAAATATTATTTGTATTTTCCTTGAAGAGGCAGAAAAAATCCCATTCCATCTTCACTGGATGCAGTTGACAAGAAGAAGCAGAGACGATGCATTTAATAGATGCATTTAATAGGCAGATTACACCTCTCGTATGAGAGAAGGTGTAATCTGCCTTTGCCATCTGACTTTGGCCTAAATGACGACGAAGCTTCTCGCTTCTGCAACTCTTGCAGCCATTAAAAAGGATGGGTCTTTTCGCGAGTCTCGATTATCATCTCCGCTACCGTTAACTTGAACTCTGCCGCAAGTCTCAATTTCCAAGAGAAGAATGGCATTCCGGCTAGCATTCGGAGGGAGACGGTAGAGAATTGGCGCGCCCCGCTCGTGGCACAAAAGGCACCAAGAGTGAGAGGGCGACACGGAAAGTAGACTGGAACAATGATCCCCATTGATCCGCATGGGATCGGGGCCACTCTAATCGTATGGAGTGGAGTGGCCGAGCGGGAAGTCAATCCGTGTGTTTTCATTCAAAATATCATCCTCGGTCCCGAGGAGGGTGATGAGATCATATATGAAAAAGAGCATTGTTGGGAAGCTCGCTTCCGGCTATTTGCCCCAGCTCTCGCTTCTCCTTCCTCTTATTGAGAATTCTCTGTTTATATACTGCCTCGGTCGCGGATAGATCCAGCATTCTCTGTATCCTCTTCGCTAGCGGCAGGATTTTATTTCCCCCTCCTCGTGCGAAGGCCACAATGACGCAGAAACCAGCGTGGATTTTTCTCGCCGAGAAGTCGAAAGATATCATGCCATGATTCTGATTTCGGACGAATGGTCATTTTCGTTCAGACTGTTGTGATACCCTCACAAAGTAATTATTTTCCGGTACTTTTTATTCATCCACTTTTTATTATTAGTCGAATGAAACTATTCCTTCGAACGGATCTTCGCGTGGGAACTCCGTCGAAAGACAAATCTTTTGCAATTCACCCAATCTCGACCATTTGGAGA